GTGTGGGGAGTGTTTTGTTTGACATGTGAGTTTATAAAAACAATCATCTGAAGCAATGTACGTACACATAATATATATATATGTGTGTGTGAGAGCAGGTACTTATATATCTTTATATATATGTTTAAGACTATATTAATTTATATGAGTATGTATATAGTGTACGGTATACATACACCCATGTTCGAATAATTGCAGCATCATTACTTTACATTTATAATTTTATTTTATGTACATGATGAGAGCTTTATTGATTTCACACATATGGCAGTATAAGTCTTAATAAATACGCCATATTGTATATTTAGATGAAAGCTAGAATTATTTATATATGTACATAAGTGCATTTACATACACACGTATATATATATATATATATATATATATATATATATATATATATATATATATATATATATCTATATATATAATAATCGACTCTCCCGTCGAGATTCAACGTATGAGGGTCAAACAAATCAGTTTCCAGGAAACCGACAGCCCGACACCGGCACATGAGATTTGATTATAGTGTATATATATATATATATATATATATATATATATATATATATATATATATATATATATATATATATATATATATATATATATATATATATATATATATATATATATATATATATATATATATATATGTATATATATATATATATATATATACATGTATATATATATATATGTGTGTATATATATATATATATATATATATATATATATATTACATATATATATATATATATATATACATGTATATATTTATATATATATATATATATATATATATATATATATATATATATATATATATATATATATATGTATATATATATATATATATACATGTATATATATATATATATATATATGTATATACATATATATATATATATATATACATATATATATATATATATGTATATATATATATATATATATATATATATATATATATATATATATATATACATATATATATATATATATATATATATATACACATGTATATGTATGTATATATATATATATATAGTTATTCACACACTCCCTCAGAAACATGTATAACTCTTTATTCGTAAATAAACAGGCCGTTATCATCTGCTATTTCATAGCGATAACCCTGTAATTTTGTGTTGTTAATATAGAATTTTTACTTTATTTATTATTTTGAAAGGAATTTTCCTGAAGGACCCATTAGTTATCCTATTCGTAATTCTTTCTTGAATCGTTTTTATACTCGAAGATTCTATGCAATTTAATGATGCGCTTATGTTCACCAATTTTCTAGAATCATAGGAAAAAGAACTTTGTCTGTCTGTCGTGGTTTCCTCATTATATATATATATATATATATATATATATATATATATATATATATATATATATATATATATATATATATATATATATGTATATATATATATATATATATATATACTAGGTAAAAAACTATGACAAAGTGAAAAAAAAAAGCTTTTGCGTCGCGCGTTTCACCTTTTAGGATTTAATCAGGGTTAAGTGATGTTTACTGTTGATGCAACAACACATGCACACAGAGAGGGACGTTGAGAATTTTGGCTTTATTACTCTTTTAAATATATATTTTGGCTATATAGTCTAGCCGATTTCATTGAGTTTCTTTTTCTTTTTGTTCATGTTTATTTTTGTTACTAAATATCCCACAATGAGATAATAGAAAATCTGCTAATTAAGGTGAAATGTTGTACGAGACTGGGAAGAAATGTTTTTCCTCTTAGCAAATTGCTTTCTCTCCTTATTAGACTAGCAATTTTAAATCAAAATTAGAATCAGATTCATTACAGTGGCCAGCTAATGCATTCATTGTTATCTTTTGTAAATGATTTCTTTCGTGCTAATCTTTATAATTTTTATTTCATGCTGATATATATCTTTATAATTTATTCTTTATAACTTTTATTTAAATTCGTTCAGGTTTCTCCGATGTATTCTTTCAAACAATGATTTCAATTGATAAAAAAATAATCAAATTGAAAATTCTCAACGATCCCTCTCCTTCGGATGTATGTATAGCGCCATAAACGTAAACATCGCATTAGGGCGAAACGAGTCACATTAAAACTTTTTCCACTTTATCATAGTTTTTTTCCTCCTAAAAATGTTCTTAATATATTAAAATTTTATTTATCGTTTTCCCATATATATATATATATATATATATATATATATATATATATATATATATATATATATAAATGATAGGCTAATGTAATTTAAAAAAAACGACTTGTAAAATGGTGCCCAAACGATAGCCAGATAAAACAGTGCAGGGGTGTTTTGAGTTAATGATTCGTTTTTTTATGGGTTATCAACCTTGTAGGGCGGTAATAATCTTCAAAGTAGCTAAATCATATCTGACTTTTTTCGTTCATCGAATATTAGTTACCTATAGGATATTCTTTCCCGGTCAAACTTATCATCTTATCTAAATATTGGCTGATATATATATATATATATATATATATATATATATATATATATATTATATATATTTTATATAAAACTCTTTTGTATATCCTATATATATATATATATATATATATATATATATATACATATATTTTAGTAAATACCTGTATTTGAGCAGAAAACTCCGTTTTATTTTAAACAGTATTGATTTTGTTTGAAGCAATAAAAATAGGTCAGATTAAAAATAAAATTCATTAATACTTTATATATATATATATATATATATATATATATATATATATATATATATATATATATAGTGTGTCTGTATTTTGGCAGTTCTCATTTTTTCATATTTGATTGAAGACCATGAAATATTTATGTAGAAGGTTTATTAAATGTTATTTTCTTGAAAGTGATTCGAAAGATGTTTCAAGGTTATAGATTTTTTCCGATAGTAATTTTCGACGTACTTAGATCATCTTCCAGAAGTAGAGTTCTTTTAAATACTATATGAATTTTCATGTCTATTATGTTTCTCCAATACTACCGTTACTGACAAATATATATATATATATATATATATATATATATATATATATATATATATATATATATATTTATATATACACTGGTCGTGCAACTACAACCTTATCACGTCGACTCACGAGCCAGTTAACCGATAGCATCTCCATGGAAGAAAGACCTATTAATAACTAATTCAACAATAAGAAGAGAAATATTAATCCAAACATCATCCTAGAGATTCTTGTATAAATTGTAAAAATAGACTATTGCTTTAACTGTAAAATTATTACAAATATAAGAAGCAATACTTATAGAATCTTTTAATAAAGCAATAACAAGAAAATATTTAATATATCCTTTACTAAAAAAAAAAAATAAGAAATAGCATCTTCGAGAAATTATTTTAACTTTTGATGATAAAAATTTAAATTAAAAAAATTATGTCACAATACGTGACATGATAGCATTTTAAATTCAAAATATAACCCTATATTTATCAAAATGAGACTCAGGAGAAAGTAAACATTGGCCATATTGAAAAAAAATGACTTCATAAAGATTACCAAAGTGGCTGAAAGAATTTTGAAAAACAATATCCACAAATGCATCTACAATCGGTTAAGCTTCAGTGAAAGAACTTTAAAATAAAAGAAATTTAAAATTTGCGTTAGAAGATATATTTTCGTCGTCTCCAATCAAATATACCGAAAAAGAATTTGTTGCCACAATGCATACATAGACTAATATATATATATATATATATATATATATATATATATATATATATATATATATATATATGTGTGTGTGTATGTATTAAAGTCTGTAGGTAACTGCGAAAGAAATGCTTAGCAATATTGAAAGGAATCTGAGATGAATGTAGAAATGAGTCAAAATAAAATCAACTGGGACTTTTTAATCGATCGTTGATTACTTATAAATGTTTGAATTAAGTGCATCTCTTATTATTGACTGTTAGAAAGTCTTTGCGCACGCTCACGAACATACATACACACTCACGCACAGACACACGCATGTGCTAATACATATGTACACACATATCTATATATATATATGATGGGTTTTGCAGGGTCACAGTTATACAAGTGCCATTGGGTATATAAAAAATTCTGTTAGAGGTTTGGAAGAAGAAATGTATAAATTAAGAAATATTCCATCCGTTAACTTTATCGAAACATACGTACTTGCACACACACGCATATATATATATATATATATATATATATATATATATATATATATATATATATATAAGTCTGAAAATTTTCAAAATCATATATTCATTTGCATTATCGAGTCTTTTCATATCATTTTTTTTGTTTCTGTTCATTTTTCGTTTCAAATGTATATTTCGCGTTTCATTTTCCTTCGTTTTTTTTATTATCAGTTATCTTTGTACTTAAGATTTTGCTTCGTTTTGTTGCCTTCACTTTGTTATTTCTCTAATAATATATATTTACACAATTATTCATATATATATATATATATATATATATATATATATATATATATATATATAATTACAGTTTTTAATTCGTTTCGATTTTTCTTTTCAAGATTCCCTAAATTTCTTTTAAATGTCTTTTTTTTTTTACAATTTTATTTGTGATATATGCTGTCACTCTTTTATATTAATTTTGTTACTGTTCTTTGCTGTATGCATGTTCCAAAACGTTGTCTTTAAAAAACGAAAGTATATTCAACACTGTTTCATTTTTGTTAAAAAAACATCCCTTGCCTTTGTCATTTCTTATTTTATTATTTTTCTGTATTTTTTCATGGTCTCATTGTTTTTTTTTTCTGTCAGTCTTCCTCCAAATTAGCATCTCATTTGCATACATGTACATCAACAAAATATTCACATAGATCACACTTCACTTCACAACACCATTCAAATTTACAGTGACATCTTTCCTGTACTTTCTTTCGGAATGAATTGTATCCTCGACCACAGCACATAAGAGAACAACCGCTGAGTCCTTTTGATGTCCAATTACATTCCCTTCCGACTGTTCCCAGCACTCCTGCCTCTGGGTTGGCATTACAATAATCAGGAGAGTCGTCCAGGTAGATAATATCCTCTTTTGTGGGTTTATTGAATTTATGGTTTCGTCGGATAAGACGCGTACCTCGGCTGTTAAACCGAACTTTGGTGGCACCATTGTACTTTTCTTTCAGGCGGTTTCCAACTGACCGAAAATCTGGCAAAGATTGCCAGCAAGTTTTTAGACTGCAGGAACCAGACACTCCGTGACATTTACAACTGACCGTCGCATGTTTGAAGATTGCCTGAAAAAGAAAGAAAAAATATTTAAAAAATTGGATAATAATTAAAGTAGTAAACGATTACTTACGAAGGTTATATATCTACCTTAGGTGTTTTCATATTTGTAACGATATGTCTCCGAAAAATAAATATTACACGCTTTTCCTTCGGCAATGTCTAAGATCAGTAACCTGATGCTAACGAAAGTGGCATTGGCGGAGGTTTACGTTCTCTGAATATTTTCGAATTTCTTATAATTATTAACTTAAGTTTAATACAAAACCAGATCACAATTATAAGACATCTAGTGGGGATCAACTTTACTACATTATTAATATTATGCAATTTCACTCGCTAATGGTTGTCCTGCATTTCATTTCTTAAACTTAGCTTAGAGCACATGGTTAAGATCAAAGTCAGTTTGATATTAATGGTTTGTTACCGTCCATTTGACGAAGTAGAAAGAGGCACCTTTGAGGGGTTTATTAAGAGTAATAAATAAGCCTCTTCAATTACAAGGAAATGATAGTATGGCCGACTGTAAGAATCTAACATCAAAAATAATTCTATCAGATGTACTTAGAGACAGAATTTTTATATATATATATATATATATATATATATAACAGATGGGAGTATGGACACACGCGCATGAATGCACACACACATACACACACACAAGCATACATACTATGAAAAAGATTGCAACAATGAAATGTGTATTTAAAAAGAAGAATTGTGAAGTATAAGCAGTTTATTGCTGATAGCCCCTGACGAGTAAATCGAGTGATTCCCAGAGATTCCGTCTACGAAACTCTGGACTCGGGTTGCTGAAGGTATATATATATATATATATATGTGTGTGTGTGTGTGTGTGCGTGTATATATATATATATAATTATTTAAGTTACGAAGAACTTGGTAAACCGAATGGGTAATTCCAAGGAGGATGAAATGCTGAGCGCTCAATGTGAATACAGAGCTAATATTTAATGAAAAACAGACCAATTTAAGGTACCATTACAATAATTTATTTCACCAAAATCCTTTTAAAGGACTCCGGATCATCAGGTAACAATTCAACCTATATATATATATATATATATATATATATATATATATATATATATATAAATTAACGCTAAAGTATAAAACATTTTCCATTTGACGAGTTTCCTTCTTCATCAGACTAGAGAAATGGGCATCCACAAAATAAGGTTTGCAGTAGTAGCACACACAGACACAGACGCACACACACACAAACACATGCACACACACAAACACACATCTGTCGTTCTGGTGAGACCATGGATCTCCTCCCGAAAACTTATGTCCTGGGCAGGGTTGATGTTATGAGAGATTGGCTGTTGCCCGTGCAGCTTCTCTCCTCTCTCCACGCCACCGATGTTGTCCAAGGGAAAAGCAGAAGTCAATATAGCTTGGCAGATGTCGTCGCAGGGGTTGCCAGAACGAATACTAAACATGACATCGGAATGTCTTAGAGATTCCTGCTCCTGATTTAAATTCCGAGATGTAATTTTCCTAGCCTGGTTGCCAACCATGGCTACACAGCCCAGAGTGCCTTACTATTTACCTATAGAATTTTCCTAGACCGGTTGCCACCCAAGGCTATACAACCCAGCAATTTAATCCTGCTATTTACACATAGCGGGAGGTGGAAAGAGATGGATTCATAAGTTTCCCAAGGGTATTAACACGAAGGGAATGTAATGAATTCGACGGGAATTTGAATTCGATTTTGCTATTCCTCAATCCGAGAAGTAATCCATTAGTCCACGGTGTCTCCTACATATATATATATATATATATATATATATATATATATATATATATAGAGAGAGAGAGAGAGAGAGAAGCTAGTGTGCGCGTGCATCTTTGGGTGTATGTATGTAAATATACACTTGACAAGTGTATTTAGG